GGACAGTTAAGTTCCTGTATCCTCTTCCTCTGCAGCAAGCACTTTGTAATGTGTGCAGAATACTGTTTTGCATAATTGTCTTGTTGAAGTATGTATATGGATGTCCCTGGCAGCATATTGTGCTCCAACATCTCTATGTGCTTTTCAGCATTAACGGTGCCATTACAGAAGTGCAAATTACCTTTCCTAAGGGCCCTGACACAACTCTACACCATAATAGGCCCTGGCTTTTGGGTTTTTTGGACTGGTAACAGTCTGGATGATCCTTTTCTTTTTTGGTCTGAAGTACACAGTGTCCAATTCTCCCAAAAAATGTCTGAAATACTGACCACTGTGTGATGGTAAATAGATGCCTCAGAGTCCAGAGAAGTTGACGCTGCGGTTTTGGACACTGTTAACATAGGGCTTCCTATTAGCACAGTACAGTTTTAACTGGGATTTGTGGATGTAACTACGTATTGTGGTACTTGGCAAAGGTTTGTTTTTTCACAGCATTCGTCAAAACTGTGATATTGCTTATATATATTGCAAGTAAAACAATACACTTGAAAAAAACAAACAAGTAATGAATGCTTGGGCGAAGCAGTGGTAGGCGCAGTAGGTAGTGCTGTTGCCCCACAGCAAGAAGGTCGCTGGTTCGAGCCTCGGCTCAGTTGGCGTTTCTGTGTGAAGTTTGCATGTTCTCCCAGCGTTCTTGTGGGTTTCCTCCGAGTGCTCCGGTTTCCCCATCAGTTCTAAGACATGCGAATTGGGTGAATTGGGTAGGCTAAATTGTCCGTAGTGTATGAGTATGTGTGTGTGGATGTTTCCTAGAGATGGGTTGCGGCTGGAAGGGCATCTGCTGCATAAAAAAAAACTTGCTGGATAGGTTGACGGTTCATTCCGCTGTGGTGATCCCGGATTAGTAAAGGGACTAAGCCGACAAGAAAATGAATGAATGAATAATGAATGCTTGAAATGAGTAAATACACTTTTATTCATCACGCCCTGCGTAACGATTGTCTTATTTTATATTATGAAAAGACAGTTGTATTGTGTCACAAACGGATACAACAAAAGTTCTATTAGTGTGTTACTTAAAACTTAAAAAACAACTCTGGTTGCTGAAAAAAAGTCAAGAAAATGTCAGCAAATAATATTCAAAACAGCAAAACAACACATAAGTCACTAAATACAATAAGAAGGAGCAAAGAGACAGTGGATACTTATGTTGGAGGCATTCAGTAAATGTACTCACTCATACTGGAATACACAAAATAAATCAGTGTTGATATCATTCTTTAGTCACGTATAGGCCTTTTTTTGCATTATAGCTGCACAGAAATGAACTAATAGCAGGGTAAAACTCTAAAGACACATCACGGCTATAATAAAAGTTAGTTTTCAATTTCCTCCAACAGAAAAATAAAGAAGTGTTTCCATGAAAGAGGTGGATTACATGGAAGGATAATCAAAATACAGATGCCAACTTCATAGCAACTCTATTAGTTAGCCCAGTAATCACACAAGTTGACTACTTTTTGTAATGTAATGCAGTATAATATATATATAACACTTTGCAATGCCTTTCCAGAAGTCAAACCAGCTGCTTGCACATCTCATGAAGCATGTTAGAAAAATAGAGTACACTGTCCCAGCAGTTGCTTATTTTGATAATCTATAGCCAAAAAATAAAACAGCTACAAAGCAGAAATGAATTCTGAACTTATACACCAAAACAAAGGATAGTTCACTCCAAAATGACAATTTACTCTTCTTTCACTCTCCCTCAAGTTGGTGTTTTTTCAAACATACAAAGATTCTTTCTTCTGTTGAACATTTATTCATTCGTTTTCCTTTTGGCTTAGTCCCTTTATTAATCAGGGGTCACCACAGCGGAATGTACCGCCAACTTATCCAGCACATGTTCTACGCAGCGGATGCCCACCCAGCTGCAACCCATAACTGGGGAACACCCAAAGACTCCCGTGTACACATATCCACTACTGACAATTTAGCTTACCCAATTCACCTAAAGCGCATGTCTTTGGACTTGTGGGGAAAACCGGAGCACCCAAATGAACACAGGAAGAACATGCAAACTCCATAGAGAAATGCTGATCCAGCCAAGGATCGAACCAGCAACCTTCTTGCTGTGAGGCGACAGTGCTACCCACTGTGCCACCGCGACACCTCTGTTGATCATGCATACAAAACTGATATTTTGAAGAATGGCTCTAAGAATTCATCATCTGTGTTCAACAGAAAAAAAAAATCATACAGGGTTGAAAAAACAAGAGGGCAAATAAAAATATTATTAATTTTATTTTGGATGACGTATCTCTTTAAATTAAGGTAGACATATTGAAACCTGAAATGAGTCAGATTTCAGATTTTTGATTTTATTTTTACATTTTTTTCACACATGGCGCTCTTTGGTTTGTATGACAAGTAAGCAATTCTGCTTTCATCGTGTAATAGGGCTGTGCGATTAATCGAAATCAAATCATGATTTGAAACGATGCGATTATTTAACCGGAAGAGGCTCAGTATGAAATATAAATGTATTATTTAATTTCCCCTGCCCAGAGCAAATGCGTGACTGTTGTCTGTGTGTAATAGTCTTACTAGCCAATTGAGAGAGCACACTTTTGTTCTGCCCAATCAGAATTGCGCAACCAACTATGTGGAATAAAAAAAAAAAACAAACAGGAAAGCGCAGATAAGTAGGATGATGGCGTCAAACAGTTTAGAAGCATTAACAGTGTTTCCTCTAGATTGTTTCCAGCTGTGGCGGCAGGCTTTTTTTTTTTTACAGATATACCAACTACTTGTGGCTTTATTTCAATGACAAATGTCGTGAGCGCAGTATTAGAAGTCGAGATCGCATTTATGTAATAGCCTACAGCATGCTGATCTTTTCGCTTGCGTGCCGATTTCCTCTGCTTGCGCACAAAACTTCTTGCACACCCCTCAAATATAAGCCGCTTCAAGAGCGCGCAGATCTTCTTGTGCGCTCTCAAATAGTGCAATTTAGTGCGTTTATGTAACGAGTATGTCTCCAGCATTTATTAGATTTGCTAGGAATAATTATGAATGTCTCTAATAGACCTACAGAGCTATTAATGCATCCTGAAGTAAAGTGAAACAGCTATACGTCGTGTTTGCTGGCCTCAGTCTGTCAGCACGTAACCTTAACGGGGTAAACAAATAATGCACAGCACTACGGTTACAGAGAAGTTCGCGCTGTTATAATTCACTCACCTTTTAATAGGTTTTGCTGCGATTATTACCAGCTATTAAAAAAATAAAATGTTTTGAATGAGAAGCTGTAATGTAGCCGTGGCGGGATGAATTTTGTCGTGGTGCCCCGCTATGGAAGAATGAATTTAGCGGAAACCATGATTAATAGATGAATTCATATCAAAGAAAAACAGAACATCTGTAATATGGGAATATTTTGGTTTCAAAGTCACAGACATTAAACAAAAACAAGTTATTTGTAAGAATTGTTCCCACAGCACGAGGTTATACAACAACCAGCACCTAAAAAAAGCACCACAGTGGGCTACATGAGGAGTGTCTTGCTAAAAAGTCAACTGAAAGTATTACCAGTCACACTCAATGTAGAAGCAAGCAACAGCAAAGTACAATTTCAGAGTTGTTTCAGCCGTTGCTGAGTGTTCTGTATTTTTATAATTATAATTTTTTTGTTTTCATAATAAGCTACATCTCCCTAATTTAAGTTCAACTTGTTTACAGAAAGGTAAGGTCATTTTATTTATGTTTATTGTTGGCTCGAGAAAAAAAAGTGTTTCATTTCTGATTGTTTTAAAAACAATTTGAATAAATGTTTAGGCAAATATATTTTTTCCTTTCTTTTTTAACTGACACTCACTGCATTGTAGCGGTAAGAAGCTACAGATTATTGAGCTGAAGCTTGACTACAAAATTAAATTGCAAATCAAAATTGCAATATCTGTTAAAAAAAAAAAATTCCCAAATCACACAGCCCTGTCATGTAAGTATTATAATTTTTGTGTAACTGGGAGGAATTGTGCTCAACTGACATGGAAATAGTGTAAAGGTGCCAAAAACAACTGAAATTTTTTTAAAGTTCACCAGTTTTGTTTTTTCTAATGATTTTGGGGTTTTGACCTCACCAAATCCTTCTCAGCAAATGAAACATGAATCAAAATAACAAAGAAACACTCACTGAAAGCTAAAATTTGTACTCAATTTGTAAAAACTACAAGGTAAAGAAAAGACTTTATTGATTCTTCAAGGCTAAAATAGTTCAGCATCCCCTTGGCCAGCTATCATTCATGTCTAAAACAGAAATATAGCCCAAACCAGAACCAAGAGGCAGGGAATCAAGGTGCTGAAGTAATTACAGCATTAACTCCACCACATACATAGCGCTATACTGTCAATATTGGGCTATTTCCGACAAATAAATCCTCACAAACATTAATGCAGTGTACTTTAGTTATTTTACACATTATACTTCTGCGTCAAGTGACCGGCGTAACCCACGGCGCATGCAACAGTTGCATCAGACCGATAATTTTTTTGAAGAACGGGGGGGGGGGGGGTGGGGGGGGTGCTGCTGCAGATCTGCAGAGTGGATGCGCGCGTACTGAAGATCGGTGTTATCGCGCGCCTACTCAAGAGCGGTGTTGTCGTGCCCCTACTGAAGGGCGGGACCGAAGGTGTGCCGCGTCGCGGGGGCACTTTTGATCAGTTTGGAAGGGCACTTTCTATCCAAGACTAAAAAGGGCATGTGCACTGCACAGGTTGAGCCCTATGTGTGCACGTGTCTGGTCTGCATTAACACTTCCGAAACGCTAGTTGGCAGTGAGGTGTAAATGTTCCTCTGTGTCGAGTTTCTTCGCTGCTGTTTTGGTTTTCCTGAACACTTCCGGGATGTACAAGTGGCTCAAACTCGCTCATTTTGAGGCAGGAACCGCCAGACGTGCAACAACTTTAACTATGAGGTAAACACAAAACAAAACTTTCCATCTGGAGTCCCCTCACGGGACTCCACACTTGTAAACAATCGCTCCATCAGGCTCGCACCATTCACGCGGCTCTCGGTCCCGCCCAGACTCGTCAGCGCTACCAAGCCAACCAATCGTTGCGACGTGTAGTTACATTTTTTGAGAGGTGCAAGTCAGCGACGCTGACAGCCACGGGCTATGCGTCAGCGCCGTAGCATACGCCGGCGTTTGACGCAGAAGTATAAATCAGCCTTTACAGTGATAAAGAAACAAAGGCTGGGAAAACAATTGACTTAGGCCAATGGAAAAGATTTTTACTTGCCCCTTTAAAATTCTAATTTAGATATTTCAAAGTCACATATTTTCAATGTGTCAAAACAAGCAAACTCACATACACTTTTGTTTTTCTTAAAAAAAAAAGTTTTAAAAAATTATAACAAACTAAATTTATGAACAACAGTCTGTCCAGGTGAGTGTTCTCACAGGGTAAGCTATAAATATATAGAGAACTTTTAAACAAATGTCATTGTGAGGATGTAAAGAATAGAATCAAACCATAATGCTAAAAAGAGTTAATAAATTTGACTTTTGTTAAGCTTTTTTTGGGGTTGGACCGATTGGGTAACCGTACATGGACAAACCAAAAAATTAAGACCCTTTTAAAATGATTTATAACCTAAAACAACATATTTCAATGGATTTAAAACTTTTTAGGGCCTAAAATGTAGTTTTTGAAATGTAATATATTTTAAGACCCCACGGAAACCCTGTTAATACAAAATCTAACCACTTCTGAAAGCTTGAAAACACTAGAACTAAAATTCAGCATTTTGAAGGATTCCCCAAAAGTGTCTGGCTGCAGACTTGCACGTGCACGCTCAGACACATGCACTCGATAGGGCAAGTGATAGCGCAGCCATACTCTTCTCGGATTTCCAGCACTTGTTCAGACACTGGTATCAGTATTTTAGATCCATGCATTAGGTTGTAAAGTGAGAGAATCCAACTATTTTTGCTTTGAAAACTGAAAAGTTGGATCTTAACTTGTTCAGTAAAGTTAAACAGATAAAAATGGTGAATATTATTGATATAAATGCAGCATTCAGGGTCAGGCTTTGAAGGTTCTGGTTCTACACCTCTGTTGTGGGTTTATATGAACCAGTAAACTGGTCCCACTTAATATTAGATGGCCTTGACTTGAATTAAAAAAATAAATACAACATACTATCTGTGTTCATAATTCAAAATCAAAGTATTGCAGAACACTTCTGGTGCTCTGGAGGTGTTAGGGACAGGTTTGGTTTAATGGTGGGCTAAGGTAATGTATTTACACAATAAGTACATTTTAACAAATGATTCATTACAGTGTAAGTACATATTTGTTAAGGCCATCTAATGTAAAGTGGGTCCAGTTAATGTTTGTCTTGAGTTATTTAAGACTGACCAACATGATTGGGTGCTGTTCCACTATTGCCTTTGGCTTTGATCTGTAACCAGGCGTCCCCCAGTGCTTTAGTGAAGTGGTCATCAACTGAGCCTGTTGTGGACACAGAGTTCGAAATAGGCAAGGCCTCCTTATAGATGTCCCCCAGACTGCGATGGAAATGCTCCTCAATTACAGGGTCACACACATTGTTTGCTGATGGACAGAAAATGAGAGAGAGATTTCATGATAAAGATAAATAAATCATTGGAAAAAAATAAAGCTTTTTCAGGTGAGGAGTTTAATTTATTTGCCATATCAGCTAATCCATGGCAAAAGCAGATTAAATGTACATTTGTAAATAAAACTTTTCATAATACATAAGCTTATGACAATATAAAAACATCAACAATTTATTAATAATACAAGTTATCAATCTTAAACAGTTTAAGATTTACTTTTAATAAAAATTTAAAGGGATGTTTAAAGCATTCCGATTTAAAAAATATATATATTTATTTATTTTAAGACTCTCCAGAAAAAAAAAACACAATTTCATAATAATAAAAATAGGCCGTTTTAAAAGTATGTGTTTTGCATTTTCGGATGTTACTGCAATATTGACATTTTGGATCAGCTTCTCTTTAAATTAAATATCTATATGTAAGTCTAGTGTTTCCTATAGGGCATCTTGTACAAATAATTTCATCATTTCTTGAATTTAAAGTATAATTAGATTTACTTCCCAAAAGGGCTAGATTTCAAAAAGACTATTAAATGTGCGCTGATCCCAGAGGCGTTGCTAGACATAAAGCTGTACTGGGGCATCCAAAAAAAAAAAAAAAAAATATATATATATATATATATATATATATATATATATATATATATATATATATATATATATATATATATATATATATATATATTAGGGGTGTCAAAATTAATCGTTTCTTCTGTGCATCGCGATGCAGACGTGGACAATACGGTATCGGTTCAGCAATAATCATAGCCAGTTATTGCTGACGTCATTTACCTCATATGCGCTCTGTCGCGTTGGAGGCGATCGCGAGTATTTATAACGCTTTAACTACTTAAAACTCATAAACTGTGCACAATTTCACTGTGTGTGTTTGCTGGATCAGTCTTTCACTGACATATACAACAATAGCCCCTATTTTACTGAGATCGAGAGAATGAAAGTAGCCTACTCCATTTCTCTCTCTCTCTCTCTCTCTCTCTCTCTCTCTCTGTCTCTGTCTCTTTCTCTCACACACACACACACACCCAGTGGCCCATTTGACCTGCTGGGGTGGCTTTTCTTCTCCTCTCGGCTGTTTTACAGCATACGTTTGGATACAGAAACGAGCGCGTGTCTGCATACATCAGCTGTGAGATCGCCGCTGCCGCCTGCCGCTTATCAGTGTCACTTATCTGAAAAGCGCAGAGCGCAAGAGCCAATAGCAACCGTTTTTGTTGAGGGTGTGACCAATCAAAGGGGTGTAAGAGAACTAGACAAGGATCAGAAATTGAGCTGGATGTTTATATTTGTTTATATTATTTGCTTAATGCTCGTTTTGTTTAAAGTTACAGTTTGTATATCTGACTGTTTGTATTAAATGACAAAATTGTATTACAAATAATATATAAAAATAAATATATTCATACATTTTAATACAAGAACTGCTGCTGTAAAGAAAATATAAAACTGTGTATGGAAAGCATCGTCAATGCACCGTGATGCACCGAAATATCGAATTGAACCGAATCGATGGCATGATAATCGTAACCGAACTGAACCGTGAGACTAGTGTAGGTTCACAGCTCTAATATATATATATATATATATATATATATATATATATATATACAGTTGAAGTCAGAATTATTAGCCCCCCTAAATTATTAGACCGCTTGTTTATCTTTTCCCCAATTTCTGTTTAAATGAGAGATTTTTTCAACACATTTCTAAAAATAATAATTTTAATAACTCATTTCTAATAACTCATTTATTTATTATAAATATACTCATATATTTATTATAAATAATATTTGACTAGATATTTTTCAAGACACTTCTATACAGCTTAAAGTGACATTTAAAGGCTTAACTAGGTTAATTAAGTTAACTAGGCAGGTTAGGGTAATTAGGCAAGTTATTGTATAATGATGGTTTGTTCTGTAAAATGTCAAAAAAGATATAGCTCTGTGCATGTGGTCAATATATAAACTGTCAACTGATTGTATTTACAGAAATGGTACTACATCGTGATATATAGTTATCAGGATATGAGATGACTTGTGTCATGATATGAGATTTTTGTCATATTGTTCAGCCCTAAATACATGTGTACATGTAGATGAACTACCGTTGGTCTTGTTGGCGGATCCAGATGTGCAGCTATCAGGGGACATGTGGCAACTGGACAGGCTGCAAGGCCGGTTGCTGGCAGGTGCACAGGTGATTACAGATGGACGATTCTGAAATAATAATAATAATAATACAGCTTATTATCTTCTCATTGGAAACAAGATGGTTGTACTTGCTACTGCTCATTTTACATGCAATAAAAAACTCGTACTGTAATAGTTAAGCTTGTTGATGTAGAATCCATGTTTTAAAGGCGACTTATCATTTTACAGGATGTACAATAAGGGCTCTATTTTGACGGTCCATTCGCAGAGCGCAAACGGCAGGGCGCAAACGCTTTCAGGGCGTGTCAGAATGCATTTTTGTTAATTTACGGACGGGAAAATCCGCTTTGCACCGTGGCGCATGGTCTAAAAGGGTTGAGTTTATTTTCTTAATGAGTTATAGGTGTGTTTTGAGAATAAAACAATCAGAGTCTCATCTCACATTCCCTTTAAGAGCCAGCTGCGTCGCGCCGAAAACGCATTCGCTATTAACAGGACATAAAGTAGGTCTAAGTGGAAAAACTGAGCATTTCACTAGCAAACAGTTCACAGTTATCAGTTTTTTTTAACAGAAAACTGCGTGAGAATGAGAGATAATGGATCTACTTTCAATTTCGCTCTTGGATAGGGAAACCTTTACGCACAGACATCAATTAGTCTATAAATAATTAATTGCTTTTGTTAAGCACAAATATTCGATTCAAAACTATTTCTACATTCAGTTCTAATTTCCAGCAAACGAATAAATGAACAATAATAACGAAGTGTGCTCAAACACCTGAGTTATATCCTAAAACACATGCTGTGCCCCATATGGTCTAAAACCTGACACGTGGGCAAATCTAAGCTTGTTTTTAATAAAACAAATATAAATATGGATATAATAAATAATACTGCTAATAATAATAACATTATACAAAAGCAAATTGTTATGAATGAACTGAAAAAGCCTCCAGAGATGAAGAAGACATTAAAGCAGTGATTTTTCATATTTATGTAGGCTAGAAAATAATATGTTTTGTAATATTTTAATCCTTTATATTTATATCCTATATCTATTCTTATTATATCCTATATATATCCTTAATATTTAAATTTTTTCATATGGAAAGATATTTGCCTATTGCTCTCTTGTGCGTATTAAGCAGTGTGTAAGCGAGGCGCAACTCTGCGCCGAAGTTTAGACCGGGTTTGTTTTGGTCTAATGAAAAATCTATTATAGATTCTCAAAATAACGACGCGCCGGCAGTGCGCCTCAGAACACCTTCCTTTTTAGACCAGAACGCCTATGGGCGCATAAATGAGCGCTAATGCATTTTCTATTTAAACAGCGTAGCGCAGCGCCTCTTGCGCCAAGCTGAAACTAGCAAACAAGTATTGCGCCGCGCCTTGCGCCACATTGTGCCGGGTGTATGATAGGGCCCTATGTCTCTGATGTCCCTAGAGTGTGTGTGGGGAGTTTCAGCTCAAGATACTACGGTGGCCGGGAAGTGCAAAACAACATTAGAGAGTGTGAAACACTTTTACAAAGCTCGAGACAAATTTACATTTTGAAAAACATTTTTACCTATCATCGGACACAATTACAGAGGAAAAACCCTTTTACCAAGGACGAAACAAATTTACATTTTAGAAAAAAAATTAACAAGACGCAAAACACTTTTACAAGTCCCGAAACACATTTACAATTGCAGATTCTTTACGGAGAGGAAATGTACCACACACTGGGAGTGACGCGAGAAATGTTTTGTTAATGGTGAGCGAGGTAAATTCGTGCTGTGGAGTACATGGCATAAACAAAGTTTATGGTGACAGTATATGGCGGTCGAGGGTTGTTTTGCCCATTTTGTGGCGAACACATGAGCAGCTTAACGCGGTTTAGCCAGAACTGCTAAAATTCAAACTTGCTTTTAGGTTTTTGCATACAAATTGACATAATAGTTAGGTCAACTTTAAAGAAAACACATGTAAACAAGTCTGACCTGTTGCTGTTTTGTGGTGGTACCGGGTGTAGGAAGCATGCTACTAGTAGGATGTAAGCTTTGTTGGTTCATCTCAAAGGGTCGGTCAAACGCAAAAATGGGGAAAGGTGCAAATACATGATGGCTATGGAGACCACTCAGACCACTGTGTCCATGTGAACTGACATTCCATGACTCTTGATTTGCGGTGCTTTCATTTGGATTTGTCCTAAAAGGAAAAATACAAGATATTAATAATAAGACAAACGATAATAAAATAAAACAAATCGCAAGACAAAAAGCATCATTCTAATCTGCATATCAAATGTAAGACATACAGATGTGATGCAAATAAACATCTCATTTTGTTCATTTGTCCTTTGTCGGAGTCTTTGTTTTCATGGTGTTTTCTCTTGGTTGGGCTCACAGGTGGACATTCTGAGTCAAGCACCGGGACCCTAGATGCTTCTGAACCATCTGTCAATAAATCAGATTCAAATTCACAGGGTTAGTCATATTCATCATTTATTTGGCAAATTTTGATTAACCAATTACTGATTAAGCTTAAAAACAATAACTAAAACAGTTTTTTTAATTACCATGCACTAAAGTGATGTTATGCTAGCACTTCAATGGGCTTTAATTGTTATTAGGCAAATACTTTATTATTAATATAAAACTTGTATTTTTAAAGTCAACAGACCAGCAGTGAAAAAAAATATTTACAATTAGGCATGATGCTCATTTTATCTCTATCTAAAAGTGCAAACGACAAAAGAAATAGACTCCATAGTGAAGGTGAAAGAATGTGAAGCTTCGTTAAAAACCTTAGAATAAATGAAAATAATGAAATAAAACGTAAATTTTCAACTTTGCTCAGGCTGCAAAAAAAATTGTAATGGGATGTTTATGAAATATTATCGTATTATAAATGCTTTGTATCCTGAAAATGTTTTTGAAAACATTAAAATAACCATTAAGATGTAACTTAACGTAATATTAATTATGTAACGTTAGCGCTTTAGAAGTGTGAATGCGATTACTCACCTTCGCCATATAGATTACATTGCAGCCCGCTGATGTTATTGTTCATTTTATTGATGATTTCATTGATCAAAATATCCATTTTATCACAAACATTAATGTTTTAAAAAGAAGCACGCTAACTGTTGATTCCACTTCATCTAACGTTACAGACTTCAATCTGTTGCAAAGGACGTCTTTCACATTATATAACTTAACGTTACTGTAACATAAGCAGCTTTAAAAACAGAATGTGAGAAATTTTAATTTTAAAACGTAAACAAAAACGCTAATGTTTTTAGCACAATTGGCTAGTTTTGCACGTTGTTAGCTATTAGCAAGTTAAACCAAGTCAAAATGTTTACTTTAAATTACTTTATTACAAAACAGCAGCTTTTTCTTGTAATGCACGACCTGTTGTCAGCGAATAGTGATTAAAAACAACAAAAGTCAAACTTGTGTTACGATTGTAATGTGTGAAAATAACGCTAAAGTTCCTCCACAGGAGACAGTCACGTCTATTTCCGCCTAAGAAAAAAATACATAATTTTTGCTTTTTAAAAATTCTCTTAAAGAGCGGTTTACTTGTCTAGACTTTTAGTTTAATCAGATTGTTTTAAAAAATCTTAAATGTAATATTAATCAAAATTAAAATATATAGTTGTGCAGTCATCACAAAGACTAGCATTGGTCCATCCTGAGCAGCGCTGAAAAAAGTAACGAGGTCCATTAGACAACGTCATCGCACCAAGTGATAAAGGTCCTCTCTCACTTGGCTTCTTGTGGGCTTCTCATGTTACATTCTTAGTGAACGAATGAATGAAATTGTAGCAAGAACAGTAAGCTTTCTTTTTTGGCTATTTTAACAGTTTTCCTTGGAACATTTATACATCATCGACAGACATTTAAAATGTAAAAAAATAAGAACTGTTGAAATATTTTAGGAGTAGGCTATGTAATGCTGTAAGAAACAGCTGGAACACTTAATCCTAAAACAACTGACATTTCAATGGTACTAAATAGGCTACAAATAAGTTATCTGTTTTTTATGCTAAATATGAATCTGGAGATTTCTAGCCTATCATTGATTCTGTTTATTCACTTGTGTAAATGTGTCTACATTTATATTTATTCAGTGTTTAAATTAATTTCAGTAATGTTATTGACTAATATAAAAATGTTGATATAATTTATTCACAATACAGTTTGTAAAGTAATATTTTCTGTCTTTTAGTAGATATATTAGATAGAAGACTTGATTTGTTTACTAAATAAAGTGGATCTAATTGGATTTGCATTGTAAACATTAAATACAAGTTTAAATGGCATTACGTTTAAGTTCATATATTAAGGTTTTAGTTATGATACTCGCAAAATCATTCCACATAAATCCACAGATTTTCAACAAAATTCTGCGCAGAAATAGCAAAAAATGGCCACATTCCGTCTGGCCCTACTTATTACACATATCTGTTAAAGAAATACAATTACTATTTAAATGTTAAATTTACAGTATTGTAGCTTTTCTGGAAATATTCCTAAACTCGGTTCAATTACACCATGGAAACCCTGTCCTTGACAATACCTTTAAACAGTTATTTTAAATGATTATCCCCCACATCAGTCTGTTAAAAACTATTGGGGAGATAGACTGGGTTCATTAGAGGTTGATCACTGAATCCTAATGATGAGCACAATTCAAATGTGTTTTTTTTTTTTTTTTACAACCACATTCATTAGAAATTGATGTATTTGTGGACAAAGGTTTCCAATAATAAAATGTAATATAACAGATTTTTATTTGATATTTTTTTCTGAAAACTGACTTTGAGTAGGATAAGTTCACTAAATTAGTTTGCACCAACTGCATTACTAATTTCTACAACTAAATTTATCCAATAATGAGCCATTATGTAATAGTGTTGTTTGGGAAAGCAGTGATAGAATTTGCTATATTGCCCTCATGTTTACACATTTCAACTCCTCTCTTAACATTAATTTATTTAACAAATAATCTTGGTCAATTAAGACATCACATATGTACTTCATTGCTGTTTTATATTAACATAAAACTAAATTAAGAAAAAATGAATATATATATATATATATATATATATATATATATATATATATATATATATATATATATATATATATTTTTTTTTTTTTTTTTTTTTTTTTAAGACACTTCTAGACAGCTTAAATTGACATTTAAAGGCTTAACCGGGTGACTTGGGTCAACTAGGCAGGTTAGGGTAATTAGGCAAGTTAATGTATAACGATGGTTTGTTCTGTAGACTATCAAAAAAAATATAGCTTAAAGGGGCTAATAATTTTTAACTAAAAATGGTTCAAAAAATAAATAAAAACTGCTTTTTTTCAAGCTGAGATAAAACAAATAAGACTTTCTCCAGAAGAAAAAATATTATCAGACATACTATTAAAATTTCCTTGCTTTGTTAAACATCATTTGGGAATTATTTAAAAAAGAAAAAAAATCAATGGGGGGCTAATAAATTAATGAATTTGACTTCAACTATATATATATATATATATATATATATATATATATATATATATATATATATATATATATATATATATATATATATATATACATATATACATGACTGCTGGCTGATTGCTGAAACAGTTTCTCTTTGTCAGAAAAACATATGAGCATTTCAGTGAGGGAAGGCTCATCTGCTCATTTCCACTCTTATTTCATCCACTCTCACGCATGTACTGCAGGAAACCTTCTGCATATACTGTCCTGTCATGAAGGAGGATGTGTGTTCAGGTCGTCTAGCATTGGGGGAAGGGAGAGAAAGACAGAGCATCTCATGCAGGGATGCAGCAAAAGCGTCTGATTGGCTGAATGCACATGTGACATCAGAGGCAGAGAGGGGAGGAAACACTGCGACGCAAGGAGGGATCCCAGCATCTCACTTCCATGGCTGTCTTTCCGCTGAAGTAGATCACCACATCAGTTTCCAGATCAGCACTGCTCCTCTAGTCTGCCATCATGAACTACCTGCGCCGGCGTCTGTCCGACAGCACCTTCATCTCCAACCTGCCTAATGGCTACATGTCGGACCTGCAGAAACCAGATCCTCCTCAGCCTCCCCCTCCAGGACCAGCCCCAGTGCCAGCGCCAGCCTCAGGACCAGCTCCGGTGTCCCCGCGCCAGGAGAGGAAACCCATCCAGCCCCAGCCAGGCTTAGGGACGGGCTTTTTCAGCTCCATCACGAATGTTGTCAAGCAGACGGCTGCCTCGGCCGGGCTGGTGGAGCAAACCTCCGTCCCTGCATCATCCAAAAGAATCAAGATCCTGCTGGTTATTGACGAGCCCCAGCACGACTGGTAAGACCAATGGTCTTCTCTGATAATGCTCATTTCTTCTGATTTGGTGACTCCTTGTTTTTGCATCTTCATCTGATGAGGATGGTTTAGCGCTGAGCTACTTCGCGATTGGTAAAGAAATAAAGGTAGTAGATTGACATTCATCGTGCTGTTATTGACAGGGGAAAGCCATCACTGCATTAACTGCAGGTCGTACTTATTTGCATGCACTGCAAAACATAAATAAATACATTTTTCTTAGTTTTTGGTCTTGTTTCTAGTCCAATTGTTGGAAAATTCTTTAATCAATAAGCATTTTCTACCAGAAAAATAAAGATTTATTGGATTTACACATTTTTTCAAAGATAACTGGTTGCAAGCAATTTATATGGTCTGAATTTATACAAACAAATGTAGTCATTTTCAGCTTAATTGGTTTGTATAAATTCAGCACATTTAAATTGTTTCTTACCTTTTACCTAAAATTTTAGTAAATCCAATCTGATTCAGATTTTTTGTCTTGTTTCTAGTAAAAAAAAAAAAATTCTTACATCAAGAAGCATTTTCTAGACATGCTTGTCTTGCTGTACGAAATATGTCCAAATGAAGTGAGTTTTACTTTAAAACAAGCAGAATAATCTTATGTCAAAAGGAAAAGCAAGATTATTTATTTATTTTTTATTTTTTTGCTAATTGCTAATAAAATTTTCCCCCATGTTTTCAGACACGTATTCATTTTAAACAACACAAAATCTATGTTTTACCATTGGGTCAAACTTTAAGATTTGAAGATTCTTACTATCTATTTTTATTGACAATATACATAACATTGTGTAGAATGTGAAACAAGAAATATCAGGATTTTTTTTTTTTTACAATTAGCCAAGACAAATAATAATAACCAAAAAAAAAAAAAATACAAATACAAATAAAACCCACCCCGCCACCCCCCTATTTTGCTAATTTTAATGAAAAACTCACTGCATTCATTCATTTTCTTGTCAGCTTAGTCCCTTTATTGATCCAGGGTTGCCACAGCGGAGTGAACCGCCAACTTATCCAGCACATTTTTACGCAGCGGATGCCCTTCCAGCCGCAAACCATCTCTGGGAAACATCCACACACACACACACTACGGACAATTTAGCCTACCCAATTCACCTGTACCACATGTCTTTGGACTGTGGGGTAAACCGGAGAAAACCCATGCGACCGCAGGGAGAACATGCAAACTCCACACAGAAACGCCAACTGAGTCGAGGATCGAACCAGTGACCCAGCAAATTACTTGCTGTGAGGCGACAGCACTACCTACTGCGCCACTGCATTTTGAAATATTATTTCTTGATAAGAGACTAGATTTTGCTTGTCTAGAAAAAGCTTTAGTCCATATAAACTGATTGCAACCAGTTATTTAAAAACAAAAAAAAAGGAAATCAAAAGTTTTTTTTTCACGGTAGAAAACGCTTCTTGATTTAAGATTTTTTTTTTTTTAGATATTTGGACAAAAAAGGACCAAAAATAAGATAAAGACATTTTTTTTTTTTAGTACATGCAAATACAAGTACGACCTGCGATTTATGCTGTGGTGGCGTTTCTAACAGCACAATGCATGTCAGTCTACTACCTTTATTTCTTTACCAATTGAAAAGTGCACTGAAAAAAATGGTTCATTGGATTTACAAAAAACTTTTTAAGGTAAATGGTTTCAAACTATTTAAATGTGCTGAATTTAAACAAACTAATTAAGTGGAAAATTACTCAATTGAATTTGTTTAAATTCAGACTAAATAAATTGCTTGCAACTAGTTATCTTAAAAAGAATTGTAAATTCAATTAATCTTTTTTTTTCACGGTAGAAAATGCTTCTTGATTTATTTTTATTTTAGATATTTGGACGAAAAACCAGACCAAAAATGTAAGAAAAACTTTTTTTGCTGTACATGCAAATACTAGTACGACCTGCGTTTTATGCAGTGATGGCGTTTCTAACAGCACAATGCATGTCAGTCTACTACCTTTACCAGTCAAAGTGTCTTTGATTTACAGTGATATTAAAATCGCTCTCTGTATTTATGGAATTAGCACTTCTGAAACAATGTGGTCATTCAAGAAGATGTTGTGATACGGGAAAGACCTGTGGGGCAGGAATACCCAGAGCTACTTTAGATGAGTATATTAACTGCACTGCAAACAATGCTTTTCTTACTTAGATTTTTTTGTATTATTTCTGGTCCAAATATCTTTAAAAAAACAACAACAAAAAAAATCAAGGAGCATTTTCTACCGTGAAAAAGAAAGATTTATTGGATTTACGATTTTTATAAGATAACAGTTTGCAAGCAATTTATATGGTCTGATTTTAAACAAACAAA